GCTGTCCTTTTCCTTGTGGTGTTCTTGTAATTGCTCGTATCGTTTTGTTGCCACCCCTGAAATAGGAGTTCTCTTAAAGTAATAAATTTGTTGTTCTTTCTAACAGATCAAGTCAGCTCAGACATCTTCGAGTTGTCAAGTGTTATAGTAACTTAGTTGGAGGTTTGGCTGCAGCTGCCAAGAACTTCCCATTGCTGGAGGAGTTGCACATATACTTTACCTTGATAACTAAAGATGATATAGAAAGTGTTGGTCGTTATTGCCCCCTGCTCAAGTCATTTACATTGAATGCCACTGAATATGAAAATTTGATATTTCCACCATCTCAATGCAATGATCAAGCTCTAGCTATTGCCAAAAGTATGCCTAAATTGAGGCACCTTGCATTTCTTCAAAATAGCTTGACAAATAAAGGATTGCAAGCCATTCTTGATGGCTGTTTGCTCCTTGAATCACTTGACTTGCGCTGCTGTTGTTGTGTTGATCTTAATGGGGACTTAGAAAGATGTATGCAACAGATTGTAGATCTAAAGCGCCCCGGTGATTCCACACATGACTATGAATTTCATTCTGAAAATCAGCGTCGCCCGTCTTCTGATGAAGATGACGATATTCGTTATGACTACGATTACGGCCTCAGCCTTGGGGACTCTCGTGAGTATGATTATGATTACGATAGATTATGATTACGATTTTTGACAATGATGACTCTACATATAGCAGCGAGTATGTAGATGAAGCTGGTAACCTATATTGATGTCGTGTTCAAACTAAAATTTACTTATGGTAAGAGCCCAATGTTACCGGCATTACTTCATCTTGTTCTTTTTTCTTTTTCGCTTTCATGGCTTCGAATGGTGGCAAGAAGACAAAATGGTTTGTTTCAGATATACATGCTGGTTGCCTTGGTTTTTTGCAGGTCTTTGGTTGCTGGTTGAACTGGAATCTATTCACTACAGCTTCGCTGAGAAGAAAAGGTGAAGTATTTAGTGGTAAAATTTACTGTAAAAAGACTATTTAGAACATTTGATTAGAATATAGAGCAACTATTGGTTTGAGATGGTTGTTTGAGAACAGAATACATGCACCTCTGTATTGTCTGCTCGTTTTTGTTTTTAATCCTTTATCAGTTGTGATGTATCCAATTTGATGGAAGTCAAGGTCAGGTAAATGCAGTCTCGTCGCCTACTATCTTGCTTTTTTTTCTTCTAATAGCTTGGTCAAACACTTCAATTTTGGAAATAAAAAAAAGCATTTTTTTCGAGGAAAAAAAAGTTTCTTTTGGTTTTGGAGAAGCTTGGCCAAACAGGCTATCAGTCAAACAAATTGTTGTCCGTTAGTAAAAGGATTAAAAATACACATATTGCTTCATTGAAGGTTAAATACATTAAGTCGAATATTACAAGGAACAAAATGCAATAACACAAGGACTGAAAATGATATTTCCATTAAATTAAATGGGTTGAGGGATATATGGCAGAAAACAAGTTCAAAAACTATTAAAATGAAATCTGGTGAGCACCTGACTTTTGCATACAACTCATGACAGAGTATAGTTTAGACAAATCACATCGTCCACGAGTTTTAAGTATTGAGTATTATACCTATGAATTTAGTTACAGGATTGGGCTATGAACTAGAAGTTTGAGAAGTACTCTTTCGTGTTGATTTATTGCATGATTTTCAAAACTATTAATGTCCACGATATGAATTTGGTTCTCACTTATTGAGTCATGGGATCATTCATTTACAAATGTGTACAAATATAGGACCTGCTCTTAATATGCTTAACACACAATGGTGCAAATTGGAGGAAGCTAACTAGCATTGCATATTTATCCTAATGAATATATAGCTAAGGAGCATCTGAATTCAACGCGGTATATAAATTTGTGTGTAAATATTCGCTAAAATTGGAACTAAGAATAAGTCTAAATTTATAATTTTAAAAGTATAATAGGTTTAATGCTAAAAATATTAAAAATTGAACCCCAAAGAATTTAAGTTCTGAATTCGTCCCTGAGTGCAATACTCTAACTTTACGACTGATAAGTTGGTTCATCAACCTATGATCGTGCACACACATTATTTTGGTTTGAAGAAATCGAATGTCCACTTACTAACTCCTCTCGCATTGTGTTATCAGAGTTGTGCGAAGAATGACAAATAATAAACGCCCTTCAGTTTTTCACGTGATGGTCACCCAATTATTTTTCTTCTGAATAGAAAAATATGACCTTTTAAGTTTTTAATTTTGATTATCATTATTATGTTCTTATGATACAATACTCAATTTTCGAATTATGAGAAGAAAAAGTAAGCCTATTTATAGGACTAGTAGTTAAATTCTTTCAAATTGTTTGTTAGTTTTGTAAATTGTAATCCTTTTACCAGCACTTCATGGTAGGGCCTTGCATATAATAAAATCGAAATGAGACTAGTAGAACCAGATTTAAATTTCTATAGAAACAAAAAGTTAAGCCATTCCTGTGAAGAAATAACCTATGCTGGTGGTTGAACTGAGGATTATTTGATCAAACTTTCGAATTTGATTTTCTTAATTATTTTTTGTTTTTATTGAGTGTTGTGGCAAACGATCGGGAATATTCTTTGGAGTTTATCTCTTAATTTTGAGGGTATTCGGTGAAGATTTGAATTGATTTTGGATGAAATTTTAGATTGAAATTTGAAGATGTATTAAAGTTGTATTATAATTGTATGTAAATAGTATTTAAGTTGTGTTATGTTGTAGTTATATTTTTTTATTTGAATGTTGTATGAAAGTTGAAAAATAGTTGTTTAATGTATAATCGTTGTATGAAATTTGTATTTAAGTTATAAATACTTTTTTTTACACAAAGTTGTTAATATGTATCAAAATTGTATTAAGAGGAATTTTGATTGGAATTTCAGAGAAGAAGAAGAACACATCCCATGCAAAATATTTACAAACCATATACAAAATACATACCAAAAAAAAAATTTGTATGAAAATTATATTTAAGTTTTATAATGTTGTAGTTGTATTTAACTAGGTAAAAATAATATATGAAAGTTGTAGATATATTGTAAATAAGTTGTATACTATATGATTAGTTATATCAAAATTATTTTTAATTTATATGTATTTATTTTTAATCATTGTTCTATGGAAGCATGTCATGTTTTGCACATAGATTGCTGCAATATGAGAAATCCACCATGTGTCATGTTGTGTAGGTTGTTGTAATTGATTCCGGAACTAATGTTTCAGCAGCAATTTAGTAAATAGACTGTGTTTTTCCAGCAAATGAAGCAAATGTGACTTGTGAGAACCATTGAATCGTTTTAATTTGCTTGTTATCACAATTGAATATTTTTGGATTATATACTCGGATATAACAAAATACTCTAATTTAACGCATTAATAATGGATTGTACGTGGAGAGAGGCAGCGTAAAATAGGGAAAGAGGAGATAATAAGAGAAAAAAAGAAAAATGTGTAACTGAATCCCCCTAATTTAAGGCACTAATAATGTATTATATAAATTGTAAGCAATCCTTATTTAGGGCAGATAATATACAAAATTAGAATAATTTTACTAAATAAATTTCAAATATTATATAAGAACCAAAAATTACCTACCTTTTAATGGGCCGGGTCAAGTTGACCTCTTGATCCAACTCTTGAGTAGCGTTCATGACAATATGACTTTTGAACTCCGTGTTCTTAAATGACACAAAATATTTGAATTAATATAAGACTTTTACAATTTATATTTTAAATTTTGCACGATTATAAATTTATATTAAAATAAAATATGAGTTTAAAATTAAATATTTTTAAATATAAAATTATAGTATTTTTTTTAACAACAAACAAGAAAATATCACGGGAGGTAGGAAGTGCTATTTTTAAGAGAGAGAAAAAAAGGGAAAATTTTCATATGAGAACAACTGAGCTCCCCACTTTTTAATTTTGTAGCTCATATTTCAATTTACAACTAACTAGTCCAAATCCAAAAATAATAGGCTAAGATTCAACATCCAACTCCAATAGACTCTCAAAATTATTATTTAATTTTTAAAAAAGATTGCTCAAGCTTTTAAGTTAATTTTCGAATCAGTAACTGTGACTCAAATATTAGTTCAACAAATCAAATCTATTTGAGTGGTGAAAATTAGATTTTTAACAAGCTTAAATATGTGGGTTTAAATTTTGAATTTGATTTTGTGAGAAATTTGGAGTGGGTGTTATTTAGACTTATTAGAAATAGTATAAGGAGGTTGTATATAAAATTTGAAGTCATTTAATGGAGATTTGGACTGGTTTTGAACAAGAATTGCAACTGAAAATCGTGGAAGAAGTTCGTCTACAGACGTTTGTATAAAGGTGTATAAAAGTGTATAAGATGTGTTTATACACTATTATACATAATTATACAAAAAACTGACTTCATCTTCTTCTTTGCGTCTTTTATGAAATTTAACTCAAATCTTGCTCAAATCTGCTCTAAATCACTTCACATTTAAACTTTGAACTCCTTTTGATATTTTCAATCAATTGGAACAACACCCAATCCAAACAACTGACAAACTAAAAAAAAATTATTTTCTAAAGCAAAGCTTTGAATGGCCTTCAATGGTGGACTCCTACTCTTCAATTTTTATAAATTACAACCAGGTGACATAGGGGGGAAACAGTAATGGCGGACGGCCCCTTGAAGCATATGTAAAAGACGTGAGAAGAAGAGAGAGTGAAAGCAATGGTGGTGAGAACACGTATTTAACTCCTTAGCTTTTAGAAGCAATGGTTGCAAGAACACATATTTTGAATTTGCAAGAGCTAGTATTTTCAAAATATATATAATATGGGCTAGGTCGGGTAAAACTTAAAAATATGAACCATTTTTTATTATGGTGTGAAGTCATGTGTTTTTTCTTGTAATTCTAAAAAAAAAAAAAGAAAAAAGAAAGAAAAAACGAACTCAACTTTTCATCTATTTTGTTATACCACTAATATTGAATGGGTTTTTAAATTTTCTTCCTCCGCGGAGCATTTCCTCAGCTCAGCAAAACCCCAAAATGGAAGTAGACATGGAAAATCTATTCGCACCGCCGTGGCTAGAGTTACCGCCGGAGATTACATCAACGATACTACAGAAGCTGGGGACGATAGAGATACTGAGAAATGCAGATAAAGTCTGTACAACTTGGCGGCGATTATGCCAAGACCCAGCCATGTGGCGAGTTATCAACATGCGAGACAATGTCTGGGACATGTTGGAAGGTGACTTGGAGCAGATATGCCGTGAAGCAGTGGATCGTAGCCAGGGTCAATTAATTGATATCAATCTTGAGTACTTTGGCAGCGATAGTTTGCTCTATTATATTGCTGAAAGGTTCCAGCTCTTAACCCTAATTTTCCTGTTTTTTCCTCTTTTATAAATGCTTAATTGTGTGACTCTGGAGTAGCCTTTCTGTTATGCTAGGAACAATTTTTAACTAGAATTGGGAAACAGGATTCCGCTCTAGCTTGAAATTTAGTTACAATTCGAAAAAAAAAAGGATAATTATACTCCCTCCGTCCCAATTTATGTGAGGGCGTGTGACTGGGCACAAAATTTAAGAAAGAAAGGAAGGTTTTTGAAACTTGTAGTCTAAAACATGTCAGAGGTAATTATGTGGCTATAAATAATCTCATTAAGGGTAAAATGAGAGATTTTAAGTTAAATTGTCTCTGATATAGAAAGTTGTCATTCTTTAGGGATAGACCAAAAAGGAAAGAATGTTACATAAATTGAAACAGGGGAATAAGCAACAGATTATGCTCAATCATACTTCCTCCATTCAACCCATCACCTGAATTGAAAGAGGATAGAAAAAAATTAGAATGAAATGAGGAGAGAAAGAGTAGAAAGAGAGAATTTGACAGAGAGAGCGACAAGATTGCTGTAAACGTGATTCCTTCTTTCTGGTTTGTGACATTTGTATCAATGAAGAAGAAGAAGAGCCTCCACTATTGATGTCAATTTGTGGATTTAAATTGTGGGCTGTGCGATCTGGTATGCAGTTTTGAGTAAATAGTGTAATTCAGACTTTTCCTGGTCCAAACGTCGTCATCCCCTTTTTAATTAAACTCCCGTGCTCCAAACGCTGTCGTTTTATTAACTGTGACATTCATCACTTATGAAATACTTTTAAACATACTTCATCTAACATTCCACCCCCTTCGAATCAGTATTTACCTTAAAACTGCAAATTGACGAATGTGGGAGAACTGATTCTTCAAGAAATCCCAGTCATCTCATGTTGCCTTCCTCAGTGTAAGATTTGACCATTGCACCAACACCTATACTGCAGCTCGACTATTTTTCTTGATCATCCTCCTTTTTGAAATGGCTTTTGGCTACTAGTTCAATGAGAAATATTCCTTCTTCTCCCAAGTTTGACAAATTAGTATGAACGGTGTTGTTAGCTCCTACCTTCTTTTTCAGTAGTGATATAGGCAATACATTATGTACTGGGACCCCGTAGATAACTCCAATTATAAGCCAACTGGCCTATTCTCAGCAGTACTTTAGAAGGCCACTATATTTTGAGCTTAGCTTGAAGTTCTTGCGCAAGGCGATGGAACTTATTCTGTAAGGTTGCAGCTTGAGGTACCCCATGTCTCCTCCTGGAATTCACGCTCAGTCTTGTCAGCATAGCATTTCATTCTGGCTTGTGCTTTGGACAGGTTCTCTCTCAGCACTTGTCTCATGGCTTGCCTGTGCGGGATACTATGTGTACCTTAATGGGTGGCTGAAGGCCAAGAGAATACATGGGAGGATGAATGGAGGATAGCCTCAAAGGGAGTGCAACAGAGAGCAGTATGATAGTTGGTATGCACAGTGTTTGGAAAAGCGATCGCTTCGTCGCTTTAAGCGCGAAGCGACAAGGCATCGATTTTCCAGAGAGAGGCGACTCGACCGTGTGAAGCGCACGCTTCAGTGGACAAATCGACAAAGCGACGAAGCGACAGAAGCGATAAAGATCGCTTCTGTTAAAAAATTGCAGCTGGGCCCCTTTTTTTTTAAATAAAAAATTGGGTCTGTTTGTAAATTATACAAAACAGACCCCTAAGCTCGCTTCTGTAATTCCTCGACAAAACAGAGACCCCTTCTCTCTTCTTCATCGACAAAACTAGGGTTTCCAGGTAATTTTTCTTCTCATTTTTTTCTTTCTTCTTTCTTTCTTCTTCTTGTTCCCGTCCAGCGTCTGCTCTTTTTTTCTTTCTTTTTCCTTCTTTCTTCCTTCTTCTTCTTCTCTTCTCTATTTTCTTTTTTCCCCCCTTTTATTCTTCTTAATTTAAATATGTACTTTTAGTTTATAAAATTACTTATTATATATGTGTTATATTTTTCAGTTTATTTGATTTTTTAATGTGTATTTCAGTTTATAAAATTAGTTATTTTATATATGTTATATTTTCAGCTTATTTGATTAATTTTATATGTATTTCAGTTTAGAAAATTAATTATTATATATATATATATATATATATATTATTTTAGTTTATTTGATTTTTTTAATGTGTATTTCAGTTTATAAAATTAATTATTATGTATATATATTATATGTATTTTAAGAATTGCGCTTCACTTCAATGAAGCGTGCGCTTCGCTTTTGAAGCGAGGCGAGCCCCTGTCGCTTTTTTGCGCTTCGCGCTCTCAAAAACACTGGGTATGCACCACCATTCAGCCAAGGGGAGCCAAGACATCCATTTCTTGGGTGTCGCATTGTCACAGCTCTGAGATAATTCTCCAAGCATCTGTTAAGTTTCTCCGTCTGCCCATCTATTTGATGGTGCTAAGCCAAACTGTATTTTAATGTATTTCCTTGAAGAGCTGCTGTCAAAGCAAACTAGTGAAGATCTTATCTTTGTCAGTCATTATATCTTCAGGAAGTCCATGGAGTTTGCTGATGTGGTCTAGGAGTAACTAACCACCTGAGTATAGGGGTGTTTGAGACCAAAGTAATGGCCATACTTTTTGAATCTTTCCATATCACAAGTATGGTATCCTTTCCTTTTTATGTAGGAAGACCTCCAATAAATCCATGTTAATTGATTTCTGAGCTTGTTGAGGTATTGGTAAAGGCTGCAATGGTCCAGGATTTTCAGTCCCGATTCTTTGGCATGTCATATTCAGAATCAAATTCATTTACTGTCAGATGCATATTGCCACAGTAGAAAGTGGATTGTATCCTTACGAGGGTTCCCTTCTCTCCAGAATGGCCTCCCAAAGGGGACTAGTGAATATCTTTCCTTTCTGCCTATCACTCCTTGGGATGGCGAGTAGTCTGGTTGGCCGACAGTGCCGCTAGTAAATCTTCAGCTGTTTGATCTTGCTCATATCTCCCACTCACTTCTTATACCCATGTCGGAATCACATCACTTGTAGCCTTGCATTCAGAAACTTTGATAGTCTAACTTGACTTGGTGTAGCAGTTTTAGACAATTCCAAAGTGACCATGGTTGATTAGTGACCTAATGTAACTTTATGGGAGTTATAGAGTTGATAGTTTCACTTAAAAGTTGCTCCCTTGTCTTCTTGTTTTACCTAACTGTGAAAACAATCAAAATAAAGAACAGTAGGGTGAAGATCAATCCTGATATCTGTCTTAATAACATGGGCCAGAGAAACAATAATATCTGATAGACTGGATTGTCTTTCAGTGAAGGCCTTAAGAATACACTCTCGACCAGATTTCTTTTGTGTTTGTAGTTCTGTTACAAGTGTTTATTCATTATCATGCTTATTGTGCTTAAACAGGTTTGCACAATAACAAACATCTATTAAAGCGAGTGTTTTCTGAACTAGTTTTTTGCTGTTCAGGTCAAGAGATTTTCTGTCATGTCGGGTATGTTAATCAATTTTTTTTGTAAGTGTTAAGTTATCATTTTACATGCTGTAAGTCAACTAAGAAGCGAGAACAAAGTACTTTGGTCAAGTCTCCCAGATCATTTGCGTAGGATCACCCTTATCTAGTAATCCTTTTCCTACCCTCTTATCTTCTAGGTGGGAGCTGGGTTGATCTTTTTTTCTCTAATCAAATAAAAGAGGAATTGGGTTTGCACACCTGAATAATCAAATTAATTCAATAAGGCTTCACATGCAATAGTGCCTTTGTTTAAGTTATTCAGACTGTTTAGCTGATTTTGAGAGATGTGAACACCATCCAGATTCATTTAATATTGTTTAAGCTTGAGAGAGAAGTGAACAACCTCACAACCTTCTACATCTGTAACATGATCCTTTGTCTTTTTTAAAAAAAAAAAATATACTCATGGTTCAAATTTGCTCCCTTGTCTTCTTGTTTTACCTAACTGTGAAAACAATCAAAATAAAGAACAGTAGGGTGAAGATCAATCTTGATATCTGTCTTAATAACATGGGCAAGAGAAACAATAATATCTGATAGCGAGTGATTTCTGAACTAGTTTTTTAAGAGACTGCTCCTTTCTTGATCGTTTGATGCCTGTGTATGTTCATATCCCTGCTTTTTAAATTTTTCATCTGTCTTTCTTGTTATTAAGTTTGAATCTTTTCAACAGGTCACCTCAACTCAAACGTCTTAGACTCCTATGCTCCTATAATGTCTCAGGTGAGGGGTTGAGTGCGGCAGTGAAGAAGTGTCCATTATTGGAGGAACTGCACCTTTACCACATCTTAATCAGCAAAGAATCCATTGAAACTATTGGCCGCTCTTGTCGTGCTTTGAAGTCATTTAAGTTGAACAACCAGGTATTTAGACATCCCTGCATTGAATACGATGAAGAGGCAATTGGAATTGCAGAGAACATGCCTAAACTGCGCAACCTTCAACTTGTTGGAAATAAGATGACAAATGAAGGGTTGGAAGCTATTCTTAATGGTTGCCCTAACCTTGAATCACTTGATCTGAGACGATGTTTTAATGTCAATCTAGGAGGCGATGTAGGGAAGCGATGTTCTCAACAGATCATATATCTCAGACGCCCTCATGACTCCACCGAAGATTATGAACTTGATGCAGGAATGCATGATTGTGAATCATTTGATGAGGATTACCCATCTGGATTTTCTGACATCGATCTCATCTCAGAAGACGATTATTACTATGAATTTTCAGATGTCAGCAACTATTCCGGTGATGAAGAGATGTTCTTTGAATAGCAGTTTGACAGCCCTTCTGCTCTATTGATGGTAAACATGCTGCTAGTATTTCATGAATATCTCAATTTCCGTGTCATTTGAACACCTATATAGTTGTTTTCAATGGTTTAATTTCTAAATGTCCTTTTTCTCTCATATTGTGAGAATATAGGAAAATGGGGAAGATTAACTAGTTGACTGGTTTGTTAAGCCCGAAGTGGATTTAAGGCACTTGCCGGGTTACTATGACTGGTTAAGTTGCCTAGTGCATGTGTAGATTTGTGGTAGTTAAATTAAACGTCCTTTGCTTCTCTCATTGTGCAGCTACTCAGTACTCACTATTATAAAGTACGCACTTTAATCATTTGATCCTTGTAGCTTTTTCTGCTGATACTCTAGCTTAGTTTGCTCTTCAGCTTTTCTTGTTGATACCATTTATCTGTTAGGTTTTTGCCTTTTGATTGTCGAAGTTATCAGCATTGTTATTCAGAGTTGTTTTTATTTATCAAGTTTAGGTCTTTAGGATGAAGTGAAGATGGGTACTTCTACCTGTTGAGAACTTCATTATATTTTGAATGGAAAAGGGCCAGATATGCCCTTCAACTATGCGAAATTGAGCATGTATGCCTGTTGTTAATAGGTGGGCTCATCCACGCCCTTGCCGTCCAATAGTTGGTCCATATATGCCCTTAAGTGAATCCCCTAATTAACTTATTTTGCTTATTACTAAGCTAATTAGCACCCGATTGTGAGACGTGTCGCAATCCTAAGGCTCCTCTACTTAGTTGGTTCTAACCCCACCGAGCCCACCCCCCCCCCGCCCCCCTCCCCAAACCCCGGAATCGGAGAACAATCCTACCGCAACTCCCTTTCCTCTTTCCGTTTGCCCGGAAAAGCACTATACAGTAGCGAAACACCACCATCCACCACCCTTTCAACCATGGCTGGTGGAAACCAGCTGCCTCTCTCAAGCCATGGATGCCACATGAAATAATGCCCTTCACCCATAAAATCACCAGTTTTCTCCATCAAACAATCATGAAAATACAACTATGTAAGTCGTAGTTCTACCGTAACACTACTACTATTCCCTCCGACACACACATCAAACTTTTGAGGCTCTTCTTTTCATTCTGCCTTTTCAAATTTTCGAGAGAAAAATGCATAGAGATTTTTTACGTTCTTTTGGTCAGTTAGTTTTTTGGATCTTTGAGAGAGTAAAAATACATAGTAGTAGAAAGTTAAAGAGAAGTCACGAATGTTGATATTATTTAGGATTGAAATCTTCATCTGATGAGCTATTTTCTTTGGTTTTTCCGTCCTAGGAGCTGTGTTCTTCAGATGCGGTTGAGGTTGCCAAGGCTCTCCGGTTTTATTTCAATTTTGGAGAACATACTCGCTGTAAGCTTTGCTCAGAGGTTCCAAAATATTGGAGAATTGGGTCGGCTGGGTGGTTGGAACCGGGTAAGTAGGGGAGCCCAAGGATTGTGACAATCTGGTGCTAATTAACTTAATAATCAGCAAAGTAAAAATGGACCGACTATTGGACGGTAAGGATTGATCATGGGCATATCTGCTCAACTATTGCATAGTTGAAGGGCAATATCTGGCCTTTTCCCTTATATGTATCTATAACATGAGCAAATGTGATAGATGATAAACCCTTATTTGTGATGCACACCCGCCTCTTCAACCGAGACTCACCATCTTAAAAGGAATCAAACTGGCACGTTAAGTGGAAATTTGGAAGAAGAATTAATATGCCTCCTGATCCTACAGAGTGAGAGTTGCCGCGTTTCTAGGATCGATAGATGCCGTACCCGCACCTGCAGAAGCACTTGAGCGACTAGAGTATGAACACTTTATCATCATGCCCTCGCTTAATTAACTATGCTCTTTCTCATAGGATGGTTTTGGATGGACTAAACCTGAGGATCTAATCATATTGGAAGCGCAAAATTTGTCAAAATTCTTTGTTCCTGCTGTAATCTTTTGTAATAGCATGACAAGCTGAGCCGGCAAAGTATAGTATTGTGTTCTAATTCTGCTAAGATTGTTGTATGCTAATTAAAATGAGTGTTGAGATGTGAAGTGAAACTCCCAATACAATTGCATAAACAGTTGAGATTCATCCCAATTGTTACTGAAGCTCACTGTTCCCATATAAGCGAGAGGCTTTTCGTTTTTGTTTTTGCCAATTTTAACTGCAATGTGAAACAATTACTTATGATAATACTTGTGAGGTGTGACTTCAAGATTGAGTATATGTACTTGAAACAAATATCTTGAGAATAATTCAATGGGCAATATCATGTATTCACAGCCAATGTTCTTTTTTTTTGTCTCAAATTCATTTTTTTTTTACATCGTAATTGAATTGAAGGGAGCCTTTGCATAACTGGTAAAGTTGCTGCCATGTGACCAGGAGGTCATGCGTTCGAATCGCAGAAACAGTGTCTTGCAGAATGCAGGGTAAGACTGTGTACGATCAGGGGCGGATCTACCTTAGCCCAAGCGGTGTCCCGACACTGCTTGGTCGAATTTTTTTACTAAATAAGTATATATAATAAAATCCCAACAGTAGCAATGAGGGTAATTTTAATAAAGTGACACCACTCAACAACAACAGATGTGTAGTACCGCTGGTTAGGCGAATCAATTTCTTAAAGATGACGCTAGTTTTAGTCTTTATAGCTTCATTTTTGTTTTAAATTCTCTGTTCCTGCTTTAGAGATATAAAAAAATGTATAGGTTTGAACCATTACCTCTTAACTCTAGCATTAATATTAAACTAAACCAATAGATCAAGAGTAACATTTACATATTTTATGCATCAATAAATTATTTGATTTGTATTATGAGTTGTTCGGCTATTTTTTTCCGTTCATCTTCTTTATCAGCATTGAAATTGATTAAGAACAATTTGCATAATCGAATGAATGGTGAGTTTTTGTGTGATTATTTGGTGTTCTATATATATATATATATATATATATAAAAGTATTTAGTATTATTTCTAATGAGGTTATATTGAATGTATTTCAGAAAATGGAAATTCATATTTAATAAGATACTTGAGTTGTGTTCTATAAAATAATTCGATTTTTTTAATATGCTTCTGAAAAATTCTGCTTACGCTGCTATATACGATAGACCCTTATTGTCCTGCCTTTATTCGAATCCCGCGCACAGTGAGAGCTTTGTGCACCCGGATTTGACTAACGACGAGAAAAACTAAAAAGCCACAGTTATGACATCGAGTTTAAACAAAATTTAGGAGACACCCCAAATCTTATCCATTTTTTAATAAGCCAATATATGACTGACACATCAGCAAACAAGTATCTTAGTGTATCCAGAATAGCCCCTTCTGTGGCCACAAACTCTTCAATTGGCCATGCCACAGAAACTTCTTTCCACCCGAAAAGGATTTATAACAATTTAAACAAACAAAATCAACAAATATAGAAAATAACACATTTCCAATTCTTTGAAATTTCTGCAACAATGGCTGCCACAATGATGACTTCTCTCCCACAGTTCAATGGACTCAAACCCAAAACTTTCTCAACTTCTCCAGTTCAGGGCTTGGTCAGTTCCCCTATCCATATTTCTAGCTATAGTTATAGTTATTCGTTTCTAATTTAACCTGTTATAATATGTTACATTTTATTTTCAAATTATCATATTACACTTAAAAAAATATTGCTATGGTATAGTGCACATAACTTAAACTCTAATTTTTTCTATTGTTTTGGTATATTTATGCAGGTGGCCGTTCAACCAATGAGGCGTAAAGGACAAGGCGCCTTGGGAGCTCGCTGTGATTTCATTGGCTCGCCCACTAATTTGGTAAAAAAATCAATTACCTAGTGCTAACACTTAATAAACAAAATCAGAAAATCTTATAATTTGCAAAATATAAAAATGGGATTTTTACTTTTTACTTTTTGGAAAAATAAACAAGAACCTTGTATTTGGAATTAAAAACGTTCCAATAAATAAAATAAAAGTAATTTTTCAAGGAATAAAATGGAATTTAGCACTAATTCTACCTTTTTCTTAAAGTGTTAAATTGGTCAAAGGTACTGATTACACTATCAAAGGGAGTAAAACTCATATTATTTCTTAATTCTTGATCTTACTTGGCTCAATATCTTAACTTAACTCAATCACAAGATAAATTAATATATTCAATTTTAACTTTAACCTTTTACATTGAAGGCATAAAAGAATTATAACACTCTCAAATCACCTAAAAGATAACTACATATCCATAATTAATGGGATTCTCTCGAGCAACGGTAAAGTTGTCACCAAATAACCTATAGTTCACCTGTTCGAATCTTGAAATCAGCCACTACTGATGCTAGCGTCAAGATAAGCTGCCTATATCACACCCCTTTAAGGTGTGACCCTTCCCCGGACACAACGTGAACGCAGAATGCTTACCATGCTGCACTTTTAGTAACCTGAAAAATAAAACAATTATAACAATAAATAAATTCTTTACAAGAAGTAAGTGCACTTAATGTCTTAATTCAAATCCTTGTTGTGTTTATGATGAACAGATAATGGTGACATCAACAAGCCTAATGTTGTTTGCTGGTAGATTTGGGTTGGCACCATCAGCAAACAGGAAGGCAACAGCAGGACTAAAGTTAGAGGTAAGGGACTCAGGCCTACAGACTGGGGACCCTGCTGGATTTACACTTGCTGATACTTTGGCTTGTGGTGTTGTTGGTCACATTATTGGTGTTGGAGTTGTTCTTGGCCTCAAGAATATTGGTGCTATCTAAAAATTATTTGTACTACTACACATCTGATCTATCTCTGTTTATACCCCTAATCTTTTGTCAATTATTCCTATTTCTAGCATTTTTTTCTTGCTTGCTCCATTACACTTTTTCTTTTTGAATGTTGGATTTGTTTGCAAAGGAAGGAAACTAATAGAAAGAAAAACAACAACAATGCGTACGTAGGATATTTCATAAATAATGTCATAATTTGAAGAAGTGAACTAATGAACGAATTACTATAATAATAAGCGGTGTCACTTTTTATATTTATCCTTAATATTTTTTATTTTTCTTATACATATCTAGCAAATTTTTAATTTCGACGAAGCGGTATCTCGTGACACCGCATACAACACAGAGGCGGAACCAGGATTTGAAGTTTATGGATTCTGGATTCTAATCCTTTTAAGTTATTGGGTTCTAAATTAATAATTGGCACATATTCAATAAATTTTTTAAGATAAATATAAGGTTTGAAATAAAGTTACTGGGCTCGGCCGAACCCGAAAGGAACATGTTGACTCCGCACCTGATCCAACAAGGTGCATATGGCCCTGTATATGAGTTCTCGCTTCTTCAATTCATCATACCAAAAGAAAGAAGAAAAATAGAAGGAAATTTCGAAAACATCGATAAAATTAGGAGTGTTAAATTTCGAGGAGAACATCAATGATATATTTTAAAAAAAAAATCAAAGTTCCATCATAGAGGTGAAGGAGTTAGGCCGGACTCCAATCTATATATTCTAAAAATGACGGTTACACGGAGGAGGACATAAACCTTAGCCTCAATTACATAGAGTAGATTGGTGGAATCCAATCCAATTTGCAGTTGATCACAAATGAATTCTTTGAGAATGGAGGATACCTCCTTATAAGTTGGATAGTTCATGTCAACCAGAACTACATACAATCTAGTCATAAGCACTCTAAGCAATACACTGTCAAGTGATATCATCATTAACAACGAAGTGATTTCTTCTGGGCCTGAATCGAAAATTTGGTAAACCATCTTGATCTAACTTCATTAAAGCTCAAACAACGAAACAACTTCATTGAAGATAGCACAATTCTGTGAGTTTACTCCCAGGTTAGCAACTTCATTGAAAATCCACATTTTTTCAGTGATATCGACTTTCACAATAGAGTTAGCCACACTATGCCAAAAACTTGTCATACTTCCAATTCCCTTCATGGATGAACTCCTTCACCTTTTTGTTCTTGGATGTTCTAGTTTCTTGAACCAGATTTTCGAAAGGCCCTAGACTAGTCCAGTTATCCCACCAAAATGTAATATTCCCTCTTTCCAACTTTCAAAAAGTACATGGTTCAACCTTATTTTTTTATGTCCATCAGCCTTTTCCAAGTATGTGATTATCCATATGCAGATTTTTTTGCAACTGGATGGTACCTTTTGCAATATTTAGCTTCCAGAAATTCTCTAAAAAGAGTATTTTGGATTCTAAAGTTCCACCAAAGTTTGGTAGCAAAAGCATTACAAATGTCTTCCATTGACCTAAAACCTGCTACATCCTCGAGAACTGGATAACAAAGATCACTCCAAGACTTCCAATTCCTTTCTATTGTCTTCCTTACTAAGAAATTAGCAATGATTTTCTTTATTTGGTGTAGCACAGTTTAGGGGGATGTAGCACTAACAACAAATAAAGAGGTAAGGCTTGCAAAACTGATTTGATGTAACGACCCGGCTGGTCGTTTCATGAGTTTCAGTCCCGCTCTCCCCATTTCTGCTTCCATGTGTGCTGTTCAGTTGTATTTGATCATATCGTTTTGGTTGTGTTGTGCTCGGAGTGATTTTAGAGTGGAATGAGACACTTAGTCTCTTAAGTTGGTGATTTAGTTGGTAAAGTCAACCGGAAGTTGACTTGTGGGCAAATGATCTCGGAATTGGGTTTTTATGGTTCGGATATCTTCGTTAGGTGATTTGGGACTTAGGAGCGTGATCGGAATGTAATTTGGAGGTCCGTGGTAGATTTAGGCTTGAATTGGCGAAATTGGAATTTTGGTGTTCTCCGGTCGGCAGTGAAAATCTTGATATCGGGGTCGGATTAGAATTCTGGAAATTGGAGTAGGTACGTTGTGTCATTTGTGATATGTGCGAAAATTTTCAGTCATTCGGATGAGGTTTGATAGGTTTTTACGTCGTTTGCGGAATTCGGATGTTTTGGAATCCTTAGGCTTGAATCCGAAGGTGATTTGATGTTTTGATGTTGTTTTGAGAGTTCAGAAGGTTGGAACAAGTTTGAATGGTGATATGTGACTTGTTGACATGTTTGGTTGAGGTCCCGAGGGCGTCGGGATGGATTTGGGTGGTTGACGGAAGGTTTAGAATTGAATTGCAGTTGCAGAATTTTTGCTGCTTCTGTTG